GCTTGGGAGCGTGGTGGCGCTCCTGCCGAGGGTTCGGATCCCATGTGGAGACTGGTTCCCGCTCACTGGCTGAGTGCGGTGCGGGCGCAACACCGAGGGTTGTGATCCCGTTGCCGGTCCCCGGTACGGGCGTGACACCGAGGGTTGCGATCCCGTTACCGGTCAGTAAAAAAGACAAAAAGGAAAAAAAAAAAAAAGAGGGACCAATACTAATTAAGCTATTTTCATGTCAGGAGAGACAGTAATGATTCCTTGCCCTGCAGCAGCCATAACTCGTATCTCTCCAGTATAATCAGAGTCAATGACTCCAGGAAATACCTGAAGACCTTTTAAAGTAAGGCTGTTCCATCCCAAGATAATCCCTACACTGCCTGAAGGTAAAGGACCAAATATACCAGTAGGGATAGCTTGTGGCCCCATAGTAGGGGTTAACACAACCTGAGCTGTGGGGCTAAGATCCAATCCTCCACTTCCTCTGGTTGCTTGGGAGAGGTCGGCGATGGATTTTTGGAAGCTGACTCCAGAATTTGGGGAGGATAGATGGACATGGCCACCATTGTTTGATGGGGCCTGGCCAGGCCCCATTTCCCATTTCCCTGCTGGGGAAGAGGCCAACCCTCTGCTGTGGTTTTGGAATGGCATTCATTAGCCCAGTGGTGTCCCCTCCAACATCTTGGGCAGATATTTGGAGCAGGTGTGGAAGGGAAGTTATCAGGAGTGGAAGCTTGATTAGGACATTGCTTTGCAAAATGACCTCCTTTTCTGCATTTAAAACATGTTTTGGATCTACACCTTGGATCCTTTTTCCTTGCTCTCTAAAATATTGAGAGGGCATTATATTTCGCAAAGCAGTGGCAAAAGCTACCCCTTGTGTATATGAGGGCCCAATATCTGCACAGAGATGGACATAGTCAGAAAGTATCCCCTTCTTACAATAAGGGCAAATAGCAGACTGGCAAGCTGAATTGGTGTTTTCATAAGCCAGTTGCTTGGTCAGCAGCATTCCGGTTTCCCCATATACCACTAGGTGTCCCACAACCTGTAACAAACGGGACAAGAAATCCTGGTATGGCTCATCAGGACACTGATGGATCTTACTAAGTTCTTCCATTTTAGTGTCAGCCATGGGAAGCCTCCTCCAAGCTTGCTGGGCAATGGTATTAATCTGTTGGTAAACATCAGTGGAGAATCCTAACTGTTGTGCCACTATGGAGAAGTCACCCTCACCAGCTAACATATCAAAAGTGACTTCAAGTCCTTCTCGGTGACTGCTCTCAGATTGTCCCTGAGCACGTTCAAAAAACTCTGATTTCCACAAAAGATATTCACCTCCAACAAGACAGAATTTTGCTATATTTTTCCAATCCACTGGGGGGAGAGCTTCGACCACCATTGTCTCAAGTAAGCTCGAAGTAAGGGGAGCCGTAGCTCCATACTGCGCAACAGCGGTTTTTAGCTCCTTTAGGGTTTTAAAAGAGAGCACTTGATACTCCCATACTGCTTGTCCCTCATCATTTAAAGACTCAGTAACAGGATAACATTTATATCCCTGCAAGCCATCTTCCCCTCTCTCCCATGCCATTAGGAGAGCCTTCTGCAAAGGAGACATTTGAGGGGCACAGCGTAGGATCGGGTATGTCTGAGGAGCCACAGGACCATGGGAACACAGAGAGGATACCTTTGAAAACTGTTTATGATTTTGATAACAGGACTTCATCAGACGGTCAAAAGCCAACAAAAAGTCAGGGGACTCAATGGCCAAAGGTGGGGGTGGAGACAATGGCTTGGCAGGAGGTGATCCTGCCTCACTATTTCCTCTTTATCCTCTATCTCTTCAGTACATTCCCCAATCAAAGGTTTTTCAATAACATCAGTGGGGGAAGGAAGTATATCAGGAACTTCAATAGGTTCAGAGACAGTTGAGACTACAGGGGCTTTAGAAGCCTCATGGCCAGGATGCAAACAGTCTTTGATCAAATTCCATAAACAAAAGATATCAACAGGGACTTTAGAAGGACCCACAACCCAATAATATTCTTGGAGCTGTCTCCCAACATGTTCCTGAGTTTTCTAACTGAAAAATAGAGACCTTGCAGTCCTGGGGGAAAGAGATACCGCTCTTTGCTCCCTCCTTGTCCCATTAGTTTTACTCCTGACTATCCTGACTATATGCCTTTGTTCCTAAACAGAATAGGTGTGCACCCTAAAACATGAAGATTTCCTCACCTGTTTCCAAGAAGTTTCTCCATACTCAGGTCCCTGTTCAGGCACCACTTTGTTGTCGATCGATACCCAAGGGGAGATGGTGGGAAATAAAGAGACACACTTTATGGGGTCAGAAGGACCTTAAATGATGCTGACCTGTGAGACATCCTAGTTTATTTTAGGTTCCTTTTTATAGGACAGTGAAAATAAATTGTACTGATTAAATCCGTTATGTCTGGAACCAAGCTATTTATAGAACATTTTCAGCTGCCATGGCACTTGAAGATTCATAGCTAACTACTTATCAACAAAATAAGAACATAAGTTTCTCATTTATAAACCTTCCAGGGTCCTGGGTTCAATCAAAGGTCAGACATCAAGGGACGGAGAAGGGGGAGGTAGGCAAAAGGGATGCCAGCCTTGCTGGCTTCCCTAGATTAGCAAGGACTTTGTAGCTTTGCTATTTAGTACCTCACATGGACCCACCCCCTAAGGTCAGGCAGCCAATCAGGATGCTCCTGAGTGTTCCCACACTTCCCTGTGGATCCCTCTGGATGCACCAGTCCACCCATTGCTAGCTCCTCTTGAGTCTCTTTGGAAATGCTGTCACTCAGTTCAGGCCTCATATTTCACTCTGCTGTTCTTTTGTCTGAGTCTCAAAACTCATTTTGTGACTCAGACTTCATGTCTGACCGCTCCGGAGAACACACACAGGAGGACGAGGTAGAGCAGTGACTCTCCACCCTGACTGCACCTTACAATTTTTCAAAATCTTAGTGTTGGGGCCTGGATATCACCTGGAGAGACTCTGATTCACATGCTCAGTATTGGGGCCTGGACATCAGAGGATTGTGAAAGCTTCCCAGGTGATTCCAATATTCAAGTGTACGTGTGGCATGTATACTCCCAACAAGTCACGTAAAAGGAAGAACTGGACCTCAGTATAGAATAATTTAAAATTTCATCATTAACTTTAGGGGAGCCTGTGCTGCACATAAGCACTCCTCAGGCATGGTGGAGCTGAGCCCTGCACCGTGGGGTGGTAGCACAGTGGCTGGCAATAGGGACCCCACCAGCCATGAATGCCATGTTGGGCCACTTTGGAACATGGCCCTGGAGTAGCCCGACTCGGTCATCAAATGTTGTCAATACCAATACTTGTAGCAGAAGGAATTCCCATGGCCCAAAAGCCCCAGGATGGACAAAATATTGCAATCAAGCAAATTCCTGCAACCCAGTGTGGCTTTTGGGTTCAAAAGAACACTGAAGATTGTTTTGCTTCACCAAATTACCAAGACTCATATCCACCAAACAAGGAGTGTGTCTATATTCAGGAAGCTGCCCCACGTCAGAGAACAAAGTTGACCTTCGATGAACGTTACTATACAGAACCTTCCTTTGAATGTCGGCTTGATCACTTGGAAGATCAAGATGGGTTTCTCTCCTCTTATACATTGACACTGTGGCATAAAAACCCTTCACTTAGGGGCCGGCCCGGTGGCGCACTGGATAGTGCGCCGCTTGGGAAGCGCGGCGGCGCTCCCGCCTGAGGGTTCGGATCCCACATACAGACCGGTTCCCGCTCACTGGCTGAGCGAGGCGCGGGAGCAACACCAAGGGTTGCGATCCCGTTACCGGTCCCCGGTCCGGTACGGGGGCAACACTGAGGGTTGCGATCTGTTGCTGGACATGGAAAAAGACAAAAAAGACAAAAAAAAAAAAAAAAAAAACCCTTCACTTATTAGATCGACAGAGAGATTCATGTGGACTAAGTTTATTCCTGATGAGGAACTTGAAGGACTGGATTCTGAGCAAAATATTCATTTATTCCCGGTAAAGAATATCATCTTTCAGTGCTTGGGCATTTTCCTCTGATTTTAGAATCTTAAGTTGAGAACAGAAATATGTTGGTCAAGTTAATTAAATCAAGGCTTTAAAGAAAGTAGGAAAATCAAAGGGAAATGAGTTCAGGAAAAAACAGAAACTTAATAAAACTTGGGAACAAAACTGTATCAGTTGACTTTTGAAGCAAATCATAGATGGTATCGCTTTTTCTCCTACATTTCTTTATGTTTTACAGCATATACTCAAGACCAAAAACATTAAAATAAAACATGTTTTAAAAAAAATAATTTAAAAACACAAAATTTAGCAGTGCAAATATGTATCATTACTGGATAGATCCATCAGTATTACAGGTGAATTAGTGTCCACTAACAAATAATGGTCACCATCTGTGTGCCCCTCTCAAAGACATCAATGTGTTTGTGTCCAGACCATCTCTGATGAACACCTGCTGCATTATGCTCAATTGGTGAGAAACTGATTGCTTGGGAATGAGATTCAGTCTTGATTCTCCCATCAGACAGAAAATGTCTTCCAGCCAAACACATTTCTTAAAGCCCCTATCAAGTCCCTATTCCTCAGGCTGTAGATGAAGGGGTTTAGCATGGGGGTCACCACTGTATACATCACAGTAGCTGCGATGTCTTCCTCAGCTGACTGTGAGGAGGAAGGGTTGAAATACAGAGCAATGATGGTGCCATAGAAGAGGGAAACCACAGCCAGGTGGGAGCCACAGGTGGAGAAGGCTTTCCACCTTCCCCTTGTGGATGGGACCCTCAGGACAGCACAGGAGATGTGCACATAGGAAGCCAGGATGCAAACAAATGCAGTGATCATGATCAGGGCACCTTCAGTAAGAAGCATGAGCTCATTGAGCTGTGTATCTGAGCAGGAGAGTTTCAGGAGTGGATTCATATCACAGAAGAAGTGGGGGATCACATTGTCTGCACAGAATGAGAGTCGAGCCATCAGCAGGGTGTGCAATAGGACATTCAGGTTTGCAATGACCCATGATCCAGTGACCAACAGGGCACAGAGCTGACAGGTCATCTTTGTTGTATAATGTAAGGGGTGGCATATGGCAACAAAGCGGTCATAGGCCATCACAGCCAGGAGGAAACTGTCCATGTTGGCAAACACACAGAGAAAATACATCTGTGTGAGACACCCAGAGAAGGAGATGCTGTGACTGCCAAGTATGTGATTGGTCAGCATCTTGGGGACGGTGGTGGAGGAGAAGCAGACGTCCACAAAGGACAGGTTGCTGAGGAAGAAGTACATGGGGGTGTGCAGGTGGGAGTCAGTGCTGATGGCCAGGACGATGAGCAGGTTTCCCAGGACTGTGACCAGGTACATGATCAGGAAGAGCACGAAGACGAGCTGCTGCTGCTGGGGCTGCCTGGAAAGTCCCAGGAGGAGGAACTCGGAGACGCTCGACTGGTTTGTCCCTCTCATGGCTCTAAGACAGCTGATTAGAGGGGAGCAAGTTCAGAAACCAAAACATGGATGGTTAAGATGTCATCAGGCTCCAAGCAGGACCACGTGTGGAAATAACTATATAGAATTTCTAAAACAGGATGTTGGGCCGGCCTGGTGGCGCACTGCTACAGTGTGCCACTTGGGAGTGCGGTGGCGCTCCCACCGAGGGTTTGGATCCCACATACAGACCAGTTCCCGCTCACTGGCTGAGCAAGGTGTGGGTGCAACACCGAGGGTTGTGATCCCGTTGCCGGTCCCGGTCCGGTATGGGCGCAACACTGAGGGTTGCAATCCGTTGCCGGACACGAAAAAAGACAAAAATAAATAAATAAATAAATAAATAAAATAAAACAGGATGTTCCCACCCCACCTACACTTGCAGTTTCCAATGCCCAGTTCTAATGCTTCACATGCTAAACTCACTGATTCTTATTTTCTATATTTAATGTTGAACAACTCACAGTCATATACACAGCCTGGCTTTACCATGTGTGCCTCTGCTTACATTTCTCACTTTTCCCTCCACCCACTCAACTCCTTAGTAGCTTATAAAGAGATAAGAAAAACTATTGATTATTACTAGAATCATCTCAGGTGACCACTGGTACATTCACGGCTCTTACTACAACTTCCTGTATCTGGACGATGCAGCAAACGAGGTTCCTAAAAGAACTTCCCATCTTAATAGACAAGTATCAATGTCTCCGTGGCTGCACCTCACCTGGAGGAGGTTGGTGCTCCTGCTGTCAGGTGTTCTCACCTCTGCACAACTGCCCAGTGCTTCTCTTTATAGCAGGGATCGGACTGTCCCAGAAACATAGGTAGGTCCTGGGTGAGGAGGAGCAGGGTTCGTGGTTTACACATGTGTGATTCATTGTTTCAACCACAGACCTAGTGTTTAAAGGAGGCTCCTTGGCCATGGGGACCAGATTCCCTCAGAGCCTCATTAGAGACAAAAAGAGAATAATTGTCTCACCCAATTTTGGTCCCTTTGGACCAAGCAATGATGACAGAGTATTATGTAAAGTTTAGGTGTATCTCTTGGGTCAAAACTTAAAAATATTAGAAATGAAGCCACCTGGATGAAGACAAATTCCAGACAAAATTCCCTGGAAGACAAGACTCATCACTTTGTTGATCTGGGCTGTGACCATTGATGTGGAATTTCAATCATTAGATCCTTTTTCTTTCCGCTGTCTTTGCTCATACGTGGGGCTATTCTTGTATTTTTTGTAACCCCTGCTTTCTATGTGTGATTATTATCAGACAAGATGAGTGATGCTGCATCTTCTGCATTTACAGATGGGAATGTTCATAGCACATTACCGAGATGGGCTCAAGCTATGGACTTCTTTGGGGAAAAGGGTGATCTGAGTCAAAGGGGCATTGTCTCCAGGAGAGCCCAGCATGCTGTGATTTACAAGCACCAGGACCTTAGCATAGATTCCTTTGGAGAAGTCTCTTGAACTCACATGGTTTACACTTTTCTTGGAACAGAACTCCCTAATCCACATAGTCACAGTGTGGCAGGCCCCAGGATTCATGTTTATAAAACATTCCTTCCCCTTTACCATGGATGCTTGGACCAGACAATTTGGTACTGGGTGTGAGGAATGGCCAGTCCATGTCACCACGTGGGTTGGCTGGAATGGATCAGTCCATCATCTGCTGCCTGCCTGATTCGCATCCATGGGCTGAGAGAGGAGCTAAAGAAGCAAAAGCACAGAGAGGAGAAGATACAAGATAGAGAAAACCCTTATGGTCTTCCAGTTCTGCAGATGAGTTGTTTCCTGGTGATGGGCTTTATTATGGCACGTTTCACTCGGGGTTTCTAGGTGCAAAATAACAGAAACCAACTGTGGCTAATTTTAGCAGAAAGGGATTTCATTCAAAGAACACTGAGTCCCTCCGTGAATGGGTGAATAAGCAAGTTGTACATACATACAGTGGGATTTTATTGAGCCATAAAAAGGATTAAAGTCCTGATTCACGATACAATGTGACTAAACCTCAAAACCATTATGTTAAGTAAGAGAAGCCAGACACAAATGATTATACATTGTATGATTCCTTTTAGACAAAATATGCATAACAGGTGAATCTATAGAGGTGGGCAGAGTATTGGTCATTGCTAGAGACGGAGGGAAGGATTAAATGGGGAGTGACTGCTACTTTTGTCGTCATGCGAATGTGTTGGAACTAGATAGAGGTGGTGACTGCACAATGTTGTGAATGTACTAAAGTGCCACAGAATTGTTCGCTTTAAGGTGGTTCATTCTATGTTATGTAAATTTCACTTCAATAAAATTTAAAACTAAGAAATAGGGCTCGCCGGATAGCTCAGTTGCTTGGAGCATGAAGCTACTAACACAGAAATCCAGGCTTTGATCCTTGCATTAGCTGCTGCCGAAATATATATACATAAGGAGCATCTCTCCAAATCACTATAAAGCTAGACAGCCAGGTGTGATGGGTAATTTTATATGACAACTTGACAGGGTACAACTCATTTGGTCAAACATTACTCTATGTGTTTCTGCGAAGGTACTTTTTAGATAAGATGAACATTTACATCAACGGACACTGGATAAAGCAGATTACCCTCCACAGCATGTGTGGGTCTTTTCTAATCAGTTGAAGGTCTTAAAAGAAAAAGACACTCCTCATGCAAGAGAGATTCTGCCAGCAAACTGGCTTTAGCCTCAAACCACAATATCAACTCTCCAGCCTGCTGGTCTACCCTGAAGGTTTTGGACTTACCAAGCCTCCAAAATCACATGTACCAATTCCTTAAAATTTAAAATTACATGTGTGCTCTCTCTCTCTCTGTTTACATATATATATAAAGTTCATATATATTGCATTGTTTCTATTTCTCTGGAGAACTAATGAACCAGGCTTTGAAGATCACTCATTTGGTAACAGTGCCAGAAATCATGCTTCAGAACCAGTAGCAAGGACACTAATTCTGCTGCCTCTTGCAGTTCTGATGTAGCTGTCACGGACACTGGTTGCTACCACCTGCGCTTCTCTCACCTACTCCAGAGACCATTTGACTGCAATTCTTCGCAATGCTTAAGAAAGTTCGTCCTGGGCTCCCCTTCTCTGTGTGATAGTCTGGGCAGGTGCAACTGATGGGCAGAGCCTGTCACATGCCCTCATTCTAGGTGACAGTCAGGCTCACAGGCAGGCATCTGGTGTACTGAATTCTATAGTGGAAGTTGGTCTCTTCCCAACAGAAGCCAAAAAGTAGGAAGTTCCACCAATCTTAGAAGTGGGCTCAGATGCTGGGAAGCCAAAAGGTTGAACAAATGTCCACTAGAGTCATTGTCTGGCTGGCAACATGATCATGCACACCTTCCCCCGAAATTTACCCTCCTGGAAAAGTTAGGCTGTGTCCTGACATAGCGCAAGTATCCCTCACACAGCTGAAAGCCCCACGCACCCATTCTCCACAGAGGGACACTTCAAAATCTCCTGTCACTCCTGCAGGTCCCAGTCAAGAGTCTCCCCTGCTCTCATCCTGATCCTGGATTTACATTCTATATACTCTCTGACCAGAACCTTAAAGTCATCTGCCACCAACACGTCCTATGTTAGACAGAGCAGAGGAAGGAAGAAAAGAAGATGAAAATTGGTGAATAGATAAATATACACATGGCATAGTGAGGACAAAAATGTGGTAAGATCAACAAAAAACAAGGAGAAAAACAAATAAAATAATGTCCAGTTGTAATGAGAGACTTAACTACTCCGCTACGGTCTTAAGGAGTGAACTTCTGCCTGTCCCCTTCCATTCAGTAATGTGGTGCTGCCTCTCTGTCCCCATCCAGTGCCTGGTGCCGAGTGTGTGACACGAACAGCGTCCTCTCTGCAGGGTCTTCCCTTGGAGCTTCCTCTAAAGTAGAGATGATCATGAAGGGGCTTTCTTGGGGACAGTTGTGGGAGCGACACCTGTGGGAGAAAGGGGAAGAGAAGGAAGCAGGAGTGGACAGATGAAGGAGGTGGCGTCAGTGTCTCCGCTCACCCACAGGGAGCTCTGGAATGAAGAAGGAACTTCAGACATGCTCAGCTGGGGCAGGGGAGCAGGCAGTTAAATCCCTGCATTGATGGGTCATTGGGCGGGGGATCCTGGGAAGAGGCTGTGACCTTGGATTGACTGAGGCAGTACTCAGACACGCAGGAAAGCTAAGAGCCTTGTGACAGCCACAGTCCCAGCAGCTGGGGAGTGAGTCTTTCATTCCTGAGAAGGGATTATAGTGGCACATCAGAGTCCACTATGTTACCATTTTCCAGGGAACGTGGGCAGCATCAATCGCGGGGTAATCTGCCCTGCTGGGGATAGATGCAGAAGGGGAATAAAGGACTTGAGCTGAGTCTGAAACACGAATAGGTGATTTCCACAAAAGGGAGAAGAGAGTGGGGAGGATCGTGTCTGAGGCTATTCTAGGCAGAGGGGAGAGGCTGAGCCCATAAAATGGTCTGGCCTCTTTGGGAAGAAGCAGCCAGGCAGGTCTGGAATTAGGGTGGAAAGTGTAGAACAGGGAAAGCAAAGGGCACCAGATCACAGCAGCCTTGTGGACAGGGGCTCATGTTCTGATTTGCCCAGAACAGTCCTGGTTTACATCTGTCATCCTGGTGTAATTTTAATAACTCCCTTTTTTTCTCAAATGTATACTTTTTGGAATGGTAAATTATATGGGCTCTCAACTCTTAGTCATATTGAGAAGTTTGGATTTTTTTGTTGGACCAATAGAAGTTACCTCAAGAATTATAGTGAGAGGAGTGAGATGAACTGATATTCATTTTATACAAAGATCATTGCGTCTGTGGTGTGGAGGGTGAAATTGCAAAAGGAAACTCTATGATCAGGGAGGCTTATCAGGAGCGTTGCGAGAATTCAGCCAAAAAAGATAAAAACTCTGAGCGAAGGCAAACACAGTCAGGATGGTGAGAGGGAAGGTTTGGGAGTGGCG